GTGCTGTTATTGTCATACAAATCATATCTTTATACACTATGTACTTAACACATTTTTATAATTAATGCTTTATGTTATTGTCTTTTAAATCAGATTGAAGAATAGAAAAGGTAAAAAATACACTAATGTGTCTTCCATATTTATGTATATAATTACCTCTGCTGGTGCTGTTTGTTTGGATTCAAATTACACTCTAGCATCCTTTTATTTCAACTCGAAGGACTTGTGTGTGTGTGTGTGTGTGCGCACGCACGCGTGTGTGTCTGTGTGTGTGTGTATTTTTTTTTTTTTGGTAGAGTAGGTCTGCTAATGATAAATTCTCTGTTTTATTTTGTTTGTTTAACCTCTTCATATTAGAGGATATTTTGCTGGATATACAATTCTTGTTTGACAGTCTTTTTCTTGTAGTACTTTATATCTTCCCACTGTGTTGTGGCCTCCATTGTTTGATGAGATGTCAGCCATTGATCTTATTAAGGGTGCTTTTATGTGATGATGCATTATTCTCTTGCTGCTTTCAAGAGTCTCCCTTTGTCTTTGTCTTTAAACAGTTTGATTCTGATGTGTTTAGGTGTGGATCCCTTTGAGTTTATAGTATTTAGAGTCCATTGAAGTTCTTGGACGTGTAGATTGTTTTTCATAAAATTTGGAAAGTTTTCAGCCATTTTTGTTCAAATATTCTTTTTTCTCTTTTTCTCTTATCTCAATCTGGGTTTCCCATTATATATATGTTGGTACACTTGATGGTGTTTCACAGATCTCTGAATCTCTCTTCATTTTTAATTGTTTTCTTTTAGTCTTCTGACTGGATACTTTTAGTTGTCTTATTTTCAAGTTTCTTGATTTTTTTTCTTCAGCTCAAATCTGGTGAGTCCATCTGGTAAATTTTTTATTTTATTTATTGTATTTTTCAATTCAGAATTTCTAGTTGGTTCTTTTTTATAAATTCTCTTACACTGTATTGAGAAATTGTCATAATTTCTTTTAATTCTTTATGCATGGTTTGCTTTAGTTCTTTAAACTTGAACATACTTATAATAACTCACTTTGTGTAGTGTATCCACCCACTAGATCACCTTATTTGCTGTTTCTGTGGACTGCTTTTTTCCCCCTGGCTATCCTGTTTTTGTGCTTTATATTTTTGTTGACTATCTGACATTTAAAATAATATAACATTTCAAATCTGGAAATCAGATTTCTCCCAACCTCAGGGTTTGTTATTGCTGTTTTTCATTTTTTAAAATGACTTTTTTGGACCAATTCTGTAAAGCCTGTATTCTTTGTATTGCATAGCCATGGAAGTCTCCGCTCAATTACTTTTATGGTTAGTTCATGATTGCTCAGAGACTATCATGAATGTGTTGAGCCAGTAACTCTCACAGCCTTTGCCAGAGGACTCAGTGTGTGTGTTAGAAAACGTCTTTATTGTTCAGATAGTTTAAAACTCTGCCTTCGTCTTTATTTCCTATTTGCACAGGGCATACAGTTTATCTAGAGCTGAGACATTGGGGTCCTCTCATGTCTTTTCTGGGCATGTACACAGCCCTACACATAGCTGGCCTCTTAGATCTCCAGGAACATGTCAGAGTTTTTCAAAGCCTCCTGTGGGCATCCTGTTCCTCAGATCTTTCTTGTAAATTTTTGACCAGGCTATTTTTTGCCCCAACTGGTATCACAGCCTTCAGCGGCTGTGGTGGTAAACAACTGCTGACGATTGTGACAAATGCTGTGGGAATACTGTAGGGCTTTTCCTGTAGAGTAACCACTGAATCGGGTCAAGTCATGAAAAGTCCCGATATAAAGGTTTCTTCAGGGAGCTGCAAGACAGGTTAAATAGTGACAATTCTCTGAAGATGGGCTTTTTAAGAGAAGCTCCATATTCATCCTGCCCCTTCTGTTAGTGCTAAAGTTGCTGTTTTTCACAGCTATGGTGATTGAGAGGCTGCTGGTTTTCTAGACTACTTTAGAGCTGTGGAGAGGGGAATAGTAGCAAGGCAAGTTAAAAGAACAAAAAGCTTACTGTTCTAACCACGATTTAGCAGGCTTACTTTAATAAATGCTCCTCAGATTATTGCAGGCCTTTGGTTTATCTCCAGAGTTCTGAAAAAATTGATGTTGATGTATTTGCTAGTGTCTGCATTGCATTCATGGAGGAGCAGATTTACACAAGTCTTTGTGCTTGCCCTTAGTTATAACTTAAAGGGTTCCGAGATCCCTGGGGCATCTGTGAACTCCAACCTAAGGACCCCTTGAATCAGTTGCCAATTTACTGATTTGGACCACATAATGGACTAATTAGGGTTTTATTTATTGACTTGAAATACAACATTTAAAATGTGATTTACATTCAGAAATACTTTTCAGCTTCTGGAAAAAATGACTTAAATGTGAGTCTTTATCCAAAACATAGAAGTTTGTCATTGTGTAAGCTGTATAATGAAGTAGTCAGTGATATGAAGTACTATTAATAGTATGCTGTCCTTAGGCAATGATGTTTTTTCATAAATTCATATTGCCAGGATGCTACTTATCCTTCTTGCTGTTGAATTTCACAGTTGTAAAAAAAAGTAACTATTCTCCAGCATCTCTTACACACCAAACTATATTCTGGATCCTTGACAAACTACCTTATTTGTTACTCAAAACACAAATGCGTGGATTTGTGTATCAGTATTCCCGTTTTGAAGATATGAATACTGAATCCAAAAGGTTAACTTGCCCAAGATAATATAGCTAGGAAGTGGTGAAACTGGAATTCAAACCATGGAATTCAAACCTTATGCCTCTGAAGTCCAAGCTCTGTTATTACCTTACAGTTGCAAATTTGTACTCTCTGGCATAATTGCATTCATTCTCTTCAAAGCTAAACTATCTGATGGGGAAATTACAAGCCATATGTTGTATAAAGACTATTGTTTATGTAACTTATGCAAGAGAAAATGAGCCTCTTAAAATTAAAACATTGTATTTTTTAATTAACTAAACAATTATCATACTAACTTGTTAAGATAAATTATTGTAAGTGTGAAGTACATTGCTTATGGGCAGAATTAAATACTTTCCTAATATCAACAATTCTTTTTTAGAGACTAATAGAGCAGCGTGATACTCTGAAAGAAACCAATGAAGAGCTTCGTTGTTCCCAAGTACAGCAGGATCACCTAAACCAAACAGGTGAATTTCATTAGATTTAGAAACTTCTTTTTAATAGTCAAAATACTGAAA